CGCGCTAACCGCGTGATCACGGTTCGCGAGGATTTCGCGGCTGTCGCGACAGTTCGCGTTGCCACGACAACGCGTCCGGCGTCGTTAAAAGTGACGTTCGCCTTCACGCAATTTTCGGCGGACGTTACATTATTATTCGCTATTTCTTCTCCTTCTGCATGAACGTTATTTTGTAATGGTAGTTCTGCATCGATAAGATTTGGTACTTTGTCAGATTTTTGTTGTTTATCGGCAGGTGGTTTTTTCTTTTTTTTAGATGCTTCATTTATTTGTTTTGCATGCTTTAAAATATGCATTTTGAACAAATAATTGTTTTTAGTAGCATTCCAACGTGTGTCTGCCAGTACAACTATTTCTGTAAAAAAATTAAGGATTCCGCAGCAAGAATGAAATGCTTCTTTCTTCTCCACTCCCGTGGTTCTAGAGATTCCTGTCCACGAAAAATTGGTCAATACCTCTTTCGTGAACAGAATAGCCAACAAATTTCTGGCAACAGTTTTCCCTTCTTCGTTCCCTTCAGTGCCGCCAATTGTTTTAAATGTATTGAGCTAAACAAATAATGTATATAAATTAATTATGAATATAAATTAAAACTTAATTTAATATAAGTTTAAGTCATGACTGCGCTATATGAATAAATTAATTAGTAAAAACTTAAAAAAAAGCATTACTAAGTTAAAGATGTTGAAACATATAATTCATTTTAAGTACATTTACTTCAAATATATTATCCATATTATTTTTTATGTATTATAAAAAAATCACTTCTGTTAGAATATAAGTATATTGTTGATATATTATCTGTCATAATATTTATGCTGGCTACTTAAAAATGTTTATTCTAAATGGCAAAATAAGTGAATAGAATGTATATAAATTTAAATTTACCAAATATTTTTTGTAGTCTGTATCTTTTTCAATTTCTGAATTAAATGCCAGTACATCAGAAACAGTGTTTAATGGAAAAATGAATTTGCTTTCAAATCCAGATTTACTTGGCTCCTCGTGGCTAGTTGTCGGTTTTGGAATATTTCCGTCATGCAATTTTTTTATCATGTCATAAATCTTATCTAATGTCAATTTCAAGAGGACATTGTCAGACTTTCGCATTTCTAATATGCGTGATTGATTTTCTTCAATTTGTTTTTGAATCATGAAGAGTATTTCAAATACTATAATAAATATATCATGTTAATATACAGTGATGGGAGAAAGTTCGGCAACGGTCAAATATCTTGGAAAATAA